TTCTGGTCATTGGGCTTAGCCAGGTTTGGTCTTCCATAAGATGAATGCCCAACCAGCCCGGGAGTATTGAAATCCACCATTTAATGTCTGATTTCATTGGACCATTGATCCTTATGTGGGACTTCGGCCTATGTGCTGTGTTGAGGGCCTTAATTAAGCATTGTATAAAAGGCCGACCCTGTGGGATAACTTGACATGCCCACATTAGTGAACCAATTAATGATTGAAGTTCTTTCTTGAAACAGAAATGCTTATCCGCCCACTGCTCTAGAAAAGTAACTAATTTTTGTTTTTTGGTTGTAGGGACTGTAGCCGACAATGTATTGGTATCAAGCTGGATGCCTAAAAAGGTGATCGAGGTATGAGGCCCTTCTAACTTGGATGGTTTGTGTGGAATATTCATAATGCTTAAAATGCAAAGAAACTGGTCCAGTTCACACCTTCCATTTGACTTTGATATGATGAGGAAGATATCGACATAGTGAATGATTGACTGTATACCTTTCTGTACTGCTATCCATGTCAATGCATCTGCAAATCTGCAGAATATTCCGCCAGAGGTCTGATTTCTGAATGCCAAGGCTTTATCAAAATATAATTGTCCCTTATGACTTATGCCCTGTAGCACCTGGTCGACAGGATGCACAGGAAGGATTCTGTATGCATCTTGTATGTCGATTTTGGTTAGGTAGCACCCTTTGCCATAATATGTGATCCAACAAATTGCATGACTGACACCTTCATATTGTGTGCTAAATTCAATCTTGTTGATTCTGTCATTAATACTAGCACCGAAAGGGGACAAGAGATGTGAAATCACCTGATAAACTTTTGGGTTTGTGTCTTTTTTCTCTACCAGTCCGCAGGGGCTTACCTGAAATAATCGACAAGGTGACTGGTCCGGAGGAAAAGGGCCACAAATCTGCCCTGCCCTATCTCGGTTTGAATATAGGTTGAAAACGATTTTGGGTCAGTCTCTATCGACCTTAAGTTGTCTTGGATAATTGTAGCCTTTTGACCTTTGAAATTAAACCTAAAGCCGCTCTTTAGTTCTTTGAGCAAATATGAGATGAACGGCCGATTAGGATGTCTGGCTTAAGATGTTTGAATGCTTCTATCTCAATCAGCGTAGCCACATTAAAAAATTTTGGGTCGAGTTGCTCAAGAATTCGCTTTCGATAGGAGACAAGAGTATGTCACATGGTTATACATGCCGATGAAATTATTTCAGGCTCAAAAACCCGAAATTAAAATTTGAAGACGAAATTGTTTTTGACCTATTTATTTAAAAGACGAAATTTTTTGATACTTTTTTTTGAATAAACGAAATTATAAGGAGTATAAATATATAAATTTTATTTGCTCTTGCTTATAAAAAATTTTAATTTGCTCTATTGGAGACGAAATAGGCCTTTTTTGAAAATCAATTTCGGTGGCATCACTACACATGGTGGAATTGCTGTTAAAGTGTTATCGGCTAACTGCAGATTGGGCGGCTCAAGCATTGTAATGCCCCAGGCCAACTTGAATTGTGACGGATATTTCAAAGAAAGTTCTGTGGATAAAGCAGAATGGGAAGACTGGGTTAGCCGTGCTTGCTAGAAAATTTGTTGTGTAGTCAATCCTGGTTATGACTGATAGTTGACTATTAATCCTATTGTTCCTCATTATACTTTCTCGCTCTCTTTCTCCTCCCTTTTTCTTTTTTTTTTATATAGTTATATGCATCTACAGTCCTTCCTTGTTACTGGCCCTTTGATCAGCGCTAAGTAAATCGTTTCTTTATTGCTTTTTTTTTTTTTTTTTTGTTTATCTCCTATCTCTTTTTTTTTTTTTTATGTTTTTGTTGTTTTTTTTTTTTAATTAAATGCTAACCAATGTCCGGTGTTAACATGATCTCTGTTTTATACTGAAACTAGTACGTTTGCATATTCTTTCTCACTTTTTTTTTTTTTTTTATGTATGTATTTTGTTTTTTTTTTGTTGTTTTTTTTTTTCATGTACATCTACGATTTGGAGTGAGTTTTTCCTGCGGTTCCACTTTCAGGTGAAACATATTTCTTGAAGCCGTTTCGCTTGAAGCATCGCTGCTCATTGTGGTTTGTTTTCTTGCAAACCAAACAAGCATGGACCCGACCGCAATTCTTTTCGTCTGTGCACTGCCGCCTGTTCCAGTTAATGCATATTTCACGACCATCATGCCACTCGGTGTCAAGCTTTGAGGCTCGAAATGTGTTGAGTCTCTGCTTCTTTACCATGGTCATATCGAAATACCTGCCTTCTACTTCGGTATTGCGATCAAGAAGTGTTGAGTCACGGTTTGTAACTAACATGACTCTGCGATCTTTGTCATATGCTATAACCGCCTGAAAGTTTTGTCGAAGGCATAGCTCGTTGATATGGTCCCTATAACCATTCAACTCTTGCTCCCGGTTCCCGTAGATTATCAAAATGGTATCCATATATAATTTAAACGCCAGCAGCCATTCCGATATGTCCAAGAAAACTGTATGTCATGAGCATTTTCTGATCATAATCGAGCCACCCTTGGCTGATTGTAAAATTGGTTCATCCTTGGTCTCTTTCATGGTTATTAGCAAATTTTTGTGTGAAAACTCTTTCAGGTTTATATACAATCCAAATGCAACCACCTTCCAGAGCTTGGTTGTCATATGGGGTTTGTAAGAAAGTGTTTCAATAATCTGTTTACCCTCTTGCCAGTTGGTAACCCACCAGATACGTATGCCTTCTGTTTTTGCGGCAAGAGGGTTAGAGAAACTTTGTGCATTGTGAACTTGTTTGAACTGTGTATAATCGAAGGATGGATACTTCCTTGACGATAACCTGAGTGCAGGCAACTCTCTGGCTGCGATATCTGCTGGGCTGGGCTGGTCGTTGTAGTAGAGCTTTGTGGCTGAAGACTTACTTTCGACACTGCTAATATTAAATTGTTTAAAGTTCGAGTTGGAGGGTTATTACCTGTTGTTTCATCAATCTGTTTTGCTTTATTTGCTGCTTGCGGTTCGGCCATTCCTGCAAAGTGAAGTGAATACCATGACGAAGTTGCGTGGTCGGTGGAGGCTGGTACGTGAGGCATAGTACTTCTGCTGTTGTCTGGTTGTATCAATTTGGAAAGTGTATTATTTATGTTTGACTGGAGTTGCTCATTCCATGTATTTTGCCTATCAAATTGTGAATCGATATATTGCTTAATGGAGTTTATGATCGATGTAGATGATGCTCAGATAGATTCGTCAATATATGTTTTTATGAAGGGATCGATGTGAGTGTCCAACTTTGATCGTCCAAGGCTTGTGGTGGTGCTGCCGGAAGGTTTATCTGTCGTGGGTTGAGAAGGAATATCATTCCCTTTACTGGGGTCATGTGCACCTGGGTCAGTATGACTCATGATTTTATTCTATTTACTTTATCTTTTATTTATTTATTCGGTTTGCTTTGATACTTTATTTACGAAAGGGATACTCTCTTCTTTTTTTTTTTTTTTTATGTAATTGTTGTGTGTCGTTTTTTTTTTTTATTATTATTTATATGTGTAACGGTTTTTTTTTTTTTTACTACTATGTGTCTATTTCGAGAAAATGCAAGTTAAATGAATTGGTTCTTATGAGAGAGAGCGTGTGGAATTGCTTCTCTTTGACGACCTTTATATATTGGTCGTTTGGTGGCTTTCCGGTTTTGCATGAATTTTATGATTTACTTTGATGTCATTTTTTCGATCGATTTTTAATGCGTGTAACCGGGCACGTGTCGTGTGTCCCTTGACCGAAGCGCCGATTCTGCATGAATGTATGATCTGACGTTGATGTCATTTACCGATCGATCCTGATTCGAGTGACCGGGTCGGGCACGTGCTATGTTTCCCTAGACCATGCTCCCTGTCTTTTCGATCTGTTGACCCTTGTCAACATGCACGATATCACATAGGGTTAGCATTATTAGCTGCAGGTATATATTTTTAGTAAATTGTTACTTGGGGTAATGTCGGCTTAAGTGATTTGTCGGTGAAATGATTGTCGAAGTAAGGCGGATCCGCAGCACCATCAAAGAAACATGAATTATTGCAAATAAGGCTTAAAAAACGAAACGAATAACTAGTATACAGTCTACCTGATGAAATTGGATATTTAATTTGGATATTGCACTAAAAGATATGTTGAAATTTTTGACAATGAAATTTTTAGTCGACTTGTCAAAAAGGGATAAGATATATAAATTATCAACTCAAGATGAATAACTTTGAAAAGGAAATGGCTTAGTCGGTAAAACATTAATTCATAGTATTACTATCGGATAAAGACTGAGTACTACTATGGATGAGTCTTAATTAAGGAATGAAGTATAATATTCATTATTTACCTGTGATCAGTTGCAAAACAGATAAAAGAGTTACTAATTTTATCTTTAGATTGCGCCTATTCTCATTACAGGTAATGATTAGTCACAAGGCATAACATCGTCCAGAAAAAAAAATGGCAGTCGACTTTTTGTCGGCTTAATATGTCAATTTGGTAACTAAAATTTAAATTTGGGGCCAAATGATGTTGTATTTGGTGAAGCTGATGTATACTAAATATATACATGTTATAATATAAATAAAATATTAATTTTAAATAAATAATATACTTTTATATTTATATTTAAAACTAGTCTTAAAATCTATTGGTACTTTCTAAATAATCTTTTTCAAAAGTCAGTACGAACGGTGCTGTACTACTTAATTATATGCTCTCTATTATAGGTCAATAACATATTTTATCGTTAAACAAATTTTTAATGGATCGGGATACTGTTACGATAGGTTGAGTAATAATGTGCCTGGTATTAATGTCATATTTTTCATTGCTACATTTTTAAAAAGCGTTTGTTCTGGGCTAATTCATGATTTATATTCTATGATTTAAGATTATAGATATTTGAGCTCACTGATCTGTTTCTAATTTATAACGCATGAATACATATTAAAGAAAAAGTTAATGAAACTAATCTGATAATAATTTCTTTACTTTAAATATCTCAATTTCTTCAGCATCAAAGTAAACATCAACGCCAAACAGCATTTCATAATTAGATTTCGAGCAACTCACACGCTTCCCATTTAATTCCAAATCACCACCTCCGAAATTCATATATGGCATATCACAAAATAAATCATCATAATTATAATTATAAATTGCGTTATCAGGGTATTCCACAAGACTTAATTTATGTGTATCAGAATCTTTTCTAAAATAAAATATAAAGCTATAAAATATATATTACAGAGAATGATATTAGTGGAAAAAAATTGATGAAATACAACACATAAAACAGCTAAAGACAATCTAACACACCTATCTAAAGTTGGTGTCCAAAGATATTCATCTTCTTCATCAGATTCTTCATGTTCTTCAATATAATCATCATAAATAACTTTCCAACTTGTAGGATTATATCCACCAATTATTAAGTCAGAATTCTTGACCTTAATTAACAATAGAGTTGCAACATTACAATCGTATATGTCGTTAACTGAGTTGAAATTAAATTTATTTCGTGTTCCTCGGTAAGAGAGTTTAAAATCGCAAGAAAATTTATCAAATTTGTTTTCGATCCAGCTAGAAATAGTTGCTAAATGTTTTCTTTCAATGATAACAGAATCAATACTAATGCGAGGCTGCAATTTAGAGCATTGTGGTTTTAAACCAGCTATAAAATAAGACTCCAATTCTTGATAAAGTTTTTCAGGTAATGCTTTTTTATATGGTTTAACAATATAACGAAAACCTTCATAAGACATTTCATGAAATCGAATATATGGTATGAAAGGGCCCAAGAATTTTTTGAGAGTCTTGAAATCATTATCATTCCATTTAGTAATAGGATACTCTTCGGGATTTCTTTTAAGATAGTCACATAATTGAGTTGTTCCCCATTCAATCAAACTCCTCCATATATAAATTTCTTCAGAGTTTAAATCGACACTCTTGATAATTCTCAATAAAATATTTTTATCGACAGTCGTAAAGTCTCCTGAATCGAATAATATATGTGGAGCTTTACAAATAAGACCCAAGAGATAATTTCGAATTGGCATACAACTCTGGAGTTTAATTACTGTGTGCAGAACGTCGACGATATTGTTGTGCAACCAGGCAGATTCATTTTTAATGAGCTAAAAAAGAGTAAATAAATTGGTTATTTTATTTAGTTTTACATAAAATAAAATGATCAAGTATGTATGTGTGCGTAGAGAATAACATACATGTTTTTGAATGTGATTAATTAATTGATTGAGAATTAATTTGTCGGCAGCAACAAGAAGATCTAGAATATTGGATCCCGATTTATCAGTTAGGTCAAGAGTTCCCGTGTAGATATACCTTTATAGGAAGTATTAAAAATAAAAAAATAAGTAAATATAAGACAAAATAAATAAATAAATAAAATTAACATACCGAATGATCACAAAGAAAATATTTGGAGGAATATTCATCTTTAAGAGAACCACTGCATCTTTTTTATTTTTTGCACCTTTGTCCGATAAAGTTTTTTTAAAATAAGGGGATCTTGCACGCAAAACATGCGAAAGAACTTTGAATTCTTTGAGATTATGCTTTTTGCCAGCTTGAATGACAGTATCATAATTATTGGTATCACTAAGAAGCCGATTAAAATCTTGAGAAAGCTCATCGAAGAAGTTTACGATAACCATGATTTCAATCGAAAAAAAAGAGGCAAGTAAAGATGAATTATGTACGTACGACGTGTGTAAGCATCCTTTAAATAATCTAATTGACTATTTGATCGCCTTTAGGATCATCACATTGTTACGTAGTTGATAATAAACGATCCTGTGTAAACAATGAGCAAATCATCCAATAAAAAATTTTTAAGAGACAATAACTGAATTTTGACAATAGTTCGTCGACTTGGTCGATTAGGGGTCGGCTAAGCCGAATATGTTGACCAATCCATAATTAGTAATACGACAATCGATTAATTGGATCAATGTTCGATTACCACAAACGAATTGAATAGATCATTTTAACAAAAGAGATACCTATTGTCTTAATGTAATTAAAACTACATATTACATGATTCAATTATAAACGCAATCTAAATAAAGGTGCCTAGCTATTAATAATTGAAATAGCTAGCAAAAATAGCAATCAAAAATAACAAAAAAAAAAAAATAGAAAATTAGCAATTATCCAAATGAATGTGATTTTTTGAACTCTAAAATAATTTTTTCGCAAACTACAGTTCTTCTTCCCCAAAAACAATAACACTTAATTGATGAAAAAAAGATATATATATTTATCGATTAACTAGCAATTTAAGCATTGAAATCTGGCTGATCTAATTGTTCACAAACAAAAGGAAAGTCTTATGATTATTGCGTGAATAATAATTTTCGCATCTTTACACAAAAACAATATAGCTAACTATTTGTAGCAATTTGCTAGAATAGCTGCTATGAATAACTGGGCGCTCTAGTCTAGAGTTAATACCTTAATCCGGATATATTTTTTATATCCGGATTAATCCAGTATAAATCCGGATATAAATTTAAATCCGGATTTATTTATATCCGGATATAAAAACATTATGTCACGTTATATCACATGACATAGTATATATCCGGATATATAAATCCGGATAGAGGTATTAACTATATTCTAGTCTAAAATATCGCACAGTCAATTATAAATCAAATAGTTGTACCAGAAATAGTTATAAAGTACGTAGAGTATGGTTTAATGAAAAGTGAAAGAGTGTATCTGATTGGATTGCTAATTCATACGATTTTATCGTTATATCGATATTATCCCTTAACCGTAGACTTTTGCAAATTTGCCTGCAAAATCTGACCACTAATAGCACATATTTACTCCCGCGATATCGAAAACTTTAAATTGTTGTAACAAACTAAATAATTCTGTAAGCGCATAAAATATAGTGTCACGTAGTTTCTTAACACTACGTGTATCCGCGGGTCTTTACTATAAACTTTACTCGCTTGGCTGGTCTGCGATGACTGGAGTATCGTTCCAGATACTACCACCAGCAATATATTCGTACAGGTCACGGTTTATTCACTAAGAATAACTAAAGGAATTGCAGGAGCGAAAGTTAGGCTTCTCCCTTCTTTTGATCGAAGCTTTATATAATTTATTACTTTTCTTTATCGATTACTACATTCTTTATGCAATTAATTCTATTACTAATCGCTAATTATACATTGTTCAAGCAATCAAGTCTATTCTAATCGCTAATTACTACATTGTTCATGCGAATCTAATTTTAGCATTTTTAATTAAATCGTGAATTCGATGCACATTTGACATTATTAAAGATAATTAATCTGCATTAATTATCTCGTCATATAACAATCACGCTATACTGATAAACCCGATCCCGATCTGGCCCCTACAAATTATCATAATTAACCCCGATTTCATCACATGTAACACGTGACATTTCGTGATTACGCTTCGCTTTACTAACCCCTACTTCAGCTAACATGCCCGAACCAAGTACAAGGGCTGTTCTGCAACTATGCGACATATAGTAAAATTTATATTTCTAAAATTAGAATAAAGTACTATACAGAAACTTTTAATCTCTTAATGAGCAGTAACTACATAATAGATTGAACCTAGGTGCCGCACAAAAAATGCGCGGCAGATCCTTGATTTTGATTGGCTAAAATAAATTAAGCCGGAATTACTCACAATTTTACTAATGAAATCGCAGCCGCCCATTAAGTGAAAATTGTTCCCGGGTCAATTTTACCATAATGCGAGCTCATTTTTTAAAAGTTTCTATTTTTGTAATGAAAAAATTAAAAAGTTAATTCCGGCCGGAATTTAGTAACCAATTTTGTAATGCGGACCAAAATTTCGAAGATCTTCGGCCATTAGCCAATCAAAATCGAGGATCTGCCGCGCATTTTTTGTGCGGCACCTAGGGTAAATTCAATGATCTGGTTCTGCGCAACATCACACGCTGCGCAGCTACCCTAATGATACGACTGTATGTAAATAATGATCATGAGAAAAAATACCCTTCTGATTGAGAGTTCAACCGTTTAATTTTGACATCAACAGCAATAATTATATATTAATTTTCAAAACCGATCTGTAGTACGTTCATGGTTTTAGCGCGACGCGTCGCGCAGCTACCCTAATTAAATAAAAATGAAATTATCGGTATTGTTATTATTATTGCTATGGTATTGGCGAAGATTGTTTATTTAGAAATTGACATGTGATATATCAGACTTTGTGGCCTATACACCACAACCTGGCTCTCTTCAAAGGGCCCCACCAGTGGTTTAGACACTTTTGCAGTAACATGACTATCACGTGGTGTGGCGTATTTTTGCTTTAATTTAGGGTTTGGGTTTGTGTTAGGTTTGTGGTTAGGGTTATTAGCTTAATATATTATGTAAAATTGCATTTCCGTTACTTTTTGTTAGTGCTTAAAGACCGATTTAAACACCAGTTTTTGAATATTTTCGCTTTTCTCTCTTTTTTTTTCTTGCACACGTGTTTTGTTTTGACGTCGGACTGATCCGGGACGAACGAAATCTACGAATTCCGATTGGTCATTTTCTCTGCGCCACGTCACGTTACTGCAAAAGTGTCTAGACCCTGGTGGGGCTTTGAAGACTTGCGTTTTCATGTGATTGTCGATCACTGAGTTCAGTGTTCTTTAAATAGTAAAATGGATAATGGATCGCATCTCTAGTTTAGAAGTAGCTTTTATGTAATAAACGAGTAATAAACTAATAATTTGAAATAATAAACGGGCAACAATACATAAAATTTTATATTTAATTAGTCTAACAGCTCGTCCAGTCTCATGCTTAGTTGTTATTTTTTATATACAAACCCGATTTAACCTAAAATAAAACAGAAATTCTTACCGTTATCGTTATAGATCTGACCAAAATTCTATTATGTATTTCCGGGTCATAGCTTTATAAAAATAAAACTTTAATTTATAATTTAAAATTTTTTAAATAAAGGTCCGGTATTTTTTTTTTTTATATTATGGGAACCAAAAAAGTAACTTTATATGCCTTAGAGAATTGAAGTCAATAGATATTTATATTAATTTTGAAAAAAATATACATTTTGTATTTATGTATGTCGCATAGCAAAACATTTACATTCTCGTAATATATACAATATTTGAACTAGAGATTCTGGTGAAATTAATTCACCACTCAAGTTATATTTCACCAGCATCTTTAATTTGAACAACATAAACATAATGTGTGCAAAATTTTATTAGAAATACTATTATTGTGTATTATCTAGAATGTATGCGCGAAAGGGATTTAAAAAGCTCCGATAATATAAATTAACACTAAATGTATCATGCATAGGGGTTATATAATGTTGTTGTTCTTGATGTAACAGATTGTCCAGCACCACCACCACTTGTTCCAGGATTCCCACCTCCCATTTTTTCAAATAATTTTGGAATATATGTTTTTGCATATGATTGTAAGAAAAACTAAGGCATATAAATAAAGTTAGAGGAGTTAAACAATGAATATTTAGAAAAAAATTTGTAAAAAAAAATCTTACCTCATGTTCAGCACTGTGAAGTTGAACGAAATTATGTGCTAATTCGTGGCAAAATGTCATAAACCAGGATATCAAAGCTTTATTATAAGGTTCTTTAAATTCTATATAGTATTTTAAGTTAAAAAATAATGTTCTATTACGATTGAAAGCAACCGTTGTTGAATCAAGATCATAAAATATATTAAGTTTGTTTCGTTGAATATCAAAAATTTCAGCAACGTTGACGAGAACTTTAATAAAACTTTTCAAAGCTCTTGTCATAGTAGGGGACAAAATACTAGATGGATCCATATTACTTGCTACATGAAGTTCAATTTCACCTTCGGTTTTAACATATTTTAATGAAGTTTCTATATCCGAAAAATTAATGAGTATATAATTATATAAATAATTTCATTATTGTAAAAAATTTATATAGTAGAAATTAACGTTATACCTGGCACAGAATCACAACGACTTTCAGGTACAGAGTTAACAGTTGGTGGACTATATACAGAATCTTGAAAATTTGACCTACAAGACATGATACCACCACGCAATAAATTTTGTAATTCATTATTAGGTATAGGTGCAGATGGGTCTGTTTTCCTGATTTTCGTTGGTGGCTCCATGGTTGCTGTTCTTGTTTCTGGAGCTCTACCCTTAGATGCTTTCTTTGTTTTTTCGATGGGATACCCAAGTCGTTGCAGAACATCTATTTGTGAAGTTAAGTACGTGTATAAAGTCAAAGAATGCTGACGTTGAGGTCGTTGATGAATATGCAGGATCAAATTTGACGCGATATCTGTAAAATCTGTGGTGGTACGAGAAATATAAAGGATGTATGTATTTTCGTTTTCTGAAATACTAGAACTGACTTCTTCTTTTTTGATCATTTTGTTAGTTGTGAGCTCATAAGTGACATATATTCGATCAACTTCCATAACTTTTAAATTCTCTACCCATGTCACCTCACATTTAATATTGTCATTTGGTATACTTGAATAGTACCAAGGAACTCGCTCCTGTATTTTTTCTAACACTTCATCAGAAATCTGTGAGGATACTGGTGTGCCTTCAGGTTCGGGTGTTGATTTTACATTTGAACTAAGCGTTTGACATCCCAATACCTTGATAAAATAATATAAAACGAAAGATGATGTTAAATATCATATAGTTATAAATAATATATAAATAAAACATACCCTATAAAATTCTTCCATTTTTTGATCCTTAAATTGACATGTTAACGCGTTAAACATGTCCCGATAACGATCATTATCGTTTATAAAAATTTCGTTTGCACACGCTAATTCATAACGTTCTGAATTACCATACTTTTTTCTACCCAATAAGATTGGTGATTGTTTCATTTCTTCATATAAGGTAGGTTTCTCTTTGAAAATTGAAGGATAATTAAATGCAATCGTTCCGAGAATGGAAACGTACGAATCCTCGTCCATTCGGCTCCAGCAATCTTTAGATGATCTAACAAGGTATTCAGCTAAATCTAACGAAGATGGTTCTCGTTTGACTCCACAATTTTCTAAAAATATGTTTGCAACTTCACCAAAATCAACATTAGGAAGTATGTTTGCGTAACTGAATCCAAGAAAAAACATTATGGTAAAAATAATTATAAATAATTATTAAAAATGATTATATATAGAAATAATGCATACTTTTCATTTGAGCAATTTAAAAAGCAATCCTTTGGAGAGTAATGAGTGATTTTTCCGGACATGGAATTGTCTTGAATAGGTATAAATTCGAGACTTCTGAGAACTTTCCAATCCTCGTGATCAAAATCGCCTCTGCGTGATGATAAATAATCGAAACACATCTTTGCTTCATCTATACTATTCGGAAGATTATTTGATAATCTTTTCAATAGCTGCTTGCCATTAGGATGCTGTCTAACACCCAATTCTTCAGCTCGAATACGCAAATCTTTACGTAAAGTGTTAAATCCCATTATCATACAATCTGGATTTGAAAAGCAATCTGATGGCTTTGTATAAACTCCAGTGTTATCGCATGGTAAAAATTCATCTTGAATTAAAGCTGCCCTGTATTCTCTATATTTTTCCCTTAAATTATCGATGAAATAATTTAACGCTTTCTCTCTAATTTGGGGAACTGTAGGTGGTGATGCGAGGCGAAGAATGGCTTGAAGGGATGGATATTCTTGAAGTCCAAGAGTGATCATGAAATTTACTAAAAAGATGAAATTTGTTTCGATAATCAGTAAAGAGCAATATAATAATAATAATAACTGATATAATAATAAATGTTACATATTTTAATGAAGTTGTTTAGTTCACATACCTTCATCTGAGTTCCCAATCCAATTACCTTTCCAGTATATTATTGGCAATCTAAGCATTCTGTTCATAGGAGACGGAGCATATAGATTTTTTGCTAAATATCTTCGAATTTTGGTCTTTGGCTTATTTAAATTAGCATTCTCCTCTACCCAAATTGCAGTAGTTTTTAATTTTTCAATGTCATCATTTTTAAGGCTTTTTGATATCGATGCGAAATATTCAACAAGTTTCATATGATCTAAATTTTCATTATTAACCATGCGATTGAAAACAAGTTGTAATTCGACGTGCTATATTCATATAAAGTAGAAATTAGGAATTAAACATTATTCCAATGAAAAAATTTGATAAATGAATTCAATAAATTATAACACTTCTTTACCTTATGCACACCCATTCCTAAGAAAAAATCTTCAGAAATATTCTTCATAGAAAATCTAGGCAAATCTTCAAATAGAGTTACTTCTGGAAAATAAGTATCAATCGGTCTCTTTAAGCCAAATTGAGTTGGAATACATGATTTTTGAGAGAGTAATTTGCATATAGTAGTCCTGGATTCACCATCCATTGATTTGTAACCTTGCGAGAGAATTCCTATAAATTTCTCTGCAAAGGATGAATCATTCTCTATTTTATATTTTTTGAGAATGTATTTTGCCCACACCCCTAAGGGAAGCTCTACCCAGTTCCTGAAATAAAATAAAGTGAAATTAAAATGATAATAAGATCAATATATACCAATACATGCTAATATAATTAATACATTTAATACATGAAAGATTTAATAGAAAAATTGTGTATTACCCAAAATATTTCTTTAATTCAATAAGTTTAAACGTTTTGCTGATAGAATATGGCAAAACATCAGGTGGAATGTCTGATTCTGGTGGTATTATTTTTATATTAAGGAAATAACGAATGTTTTTCAATGGTAAAGCGCTTATTCCATCACGTACAACTGCATATTGTGCAAATCTATCATGTCCTAAGTTCGTGACATTTTGTTTTATTGAATATGATATCCACCATCTCATTGCAGCCTCCATTTCTTCTTGATTTAAAGTTCGACTTTTCAATTCATCAAATGCATCATTAATTGATGCTTTTTCGATGAGCTTTAATACAGTTTCTGCCCTATTAAAGAACAAATCACATCTTTCGAACACGATTTCTGGAACAACAGAAACAGTTTTAGTAAATGCAGCCATTTCTGGATCAGGTATTCGTATCTTGTTAATGGCCTTGACTCCATTAGTAGATAATATGGATAATTTTGAAGAACAACAATTGAAAAATTGTGGTTCGATTATCTCTGATACTTTAAAATTTGGAGTACTATTCCTAAAGGTAAAATGTGCGAGCACATGCGCTGCACGTTTCTCGCAATCAAATGTTGATTTTTGCGTACTAATTGCATTTTGATATAAGTTAGAAATTTGACACATTTCATTTTCGTATAACAATCGGGATAATATTCCAGCAGAGCATAACATTTCTGAATTATATATAGAAAGAGTAGGATCAACCAAATCAATAGACTCACGTTCAACCTATGGATAATTATAGAATTAGAATTTATAATAATTTTTATAGTAAATTTTAATGAAAATAATAGATATATATACCGTTGGAATGACACGAGCGGCCACATGCACGGAACAACCGGTAGTTTGATGAGTTTGGAACCCGATGAATATTCTTCCCTGCTCAGGGAATGGTAGTAAATCTTTAAAAATATTAGAAGATTTATCCATTGTAGAGTCATTATATTTTGGAAGAAGGACATGTATTTTAGTTTGTTTCGGAGGTTTTTTCTTTGTTAACCTTTCCATTTCATCACAAAAGTCATCTGGGACTCGAACCGCCATGTTTCCGCTGGCAATTTGGAGGCATACAGATGCTACTTCTACTGGACAGTTTCCAGATGGCAGTGTTCCAGGAGGGATACAGACTTTACGTGCATCGATTTGAACATTACATAAATCTGCTGACAAAAGTTTAAATATGCCTTTTGGAGATTCGTTGTTTATATCGGATCTGATTTCAATCGATTGTGGTTGACCGATCTTTTTTGTGATATGAATTACGCGATCTTTATTAAAATATACAGAAGCTTCACAAAGATTGCCAGTGAATCCCTAAAATAAGATAATATTAAATGAGATACACGCATGATCACCGCGATCATTATGATGAAAATCTTACCAATGAAGTTGCCAGGAAACGGCTAAAGCTGTCCACATTTGGAAACTAGAAAGAGTTTCGTAATGATAAGTCAGAATTTCATGATTCGATTATTTAAGACCAAAAATTATGAATATTCATACTTTTCCAGGTGTTCTCATTTCCATTTCGAATGCAGTCCATTGCAGATTTTTGGAACCATCAGGACCGTGTCTTGCATATAGTTGATCACCTCTCCAGAAAAATTCCATCATAAGTCCACCAGAAGATACTCTATAAATAATAAAAAGTAAATTATATCATTAATTTTATTGATGAACTTTATGAATTCGAACTTTAATCATAAAAAAAGTTCAATTGCTCACTTTGGATTCTCACAGACAGAAAATAATGAGTAAAATCCAACACCGAAAGCACCAATCTTGTATAGTTAAAGTATTATTAACCATTAACCATTAAATTATGCTTGATGCAGTAAATTATCGTTAGATCACATACCTTTTGTTCATCAGGGTTTCCTTCAGCAATTTTTTTTAATCTGTTCCAATCTTGCCCTCGAAAATGAAAGCCATTATTTTTAAAAATCGTTTTTGTAAGAGTTCCATCAGTGGAACCTTCAAATATAATTTCCACTGCAGTTGTTTTCGCATCATCTTTTTATAAAAAGTTAGTTATAAACTTATCATATTAGCAATATATAAATTTCCTCAAATAATCATTTCTTAAAAATCCTCACCTGCATTTTGCATCAATTCACGGAAAACCACAAATTCTGCCGCATATCTATATAGAAAAACCTCAAGTCAGGAACGTGACCTATAAATTTAGTGATATGATTTAAATGTTATTATAAAGATTTAACACACCGAGCCAGCATTTTGTCAATTAAATGGCGCTGATTGACTTCGACACGAATTTCGGTAACCGAATTTGACATTATTTGATTTGTATAATCAGACATCTTGATATTTGGATCTACGAGAGAGAAATTTTTTCGCTATAAATACTTAGTTCACTTAAAAGTTTTATATTTGGGATTCCAGAATACCGGAACTATAACTCCTTCTAATTGATTTCGTGTGACTAGATCGACATTTCGGATGTTTTTAAAAAAACTCCATCATAGTTTGTTATAGAAATAAGCATGTATAAACATTTCTTTTTTAAAAGTTATTTGGAATCACAAATAACAAATTTATATAATTTTTTTTATGCAGAACACCGCTTAAACTTTATTTTAAAAAAGTTAATAGTATAATACGACGCATCCAATAATAGGAGTTATTTAACCATCTAATCATATGCCACCGATAATTTAAATATGTAGAATGAATGTTACTATCTTCATTGTAAATACACTTTAAAATTCTACCAAACGAAATAACTCTGCAAAGTCAGCCTAATAAATAGATACGTAGCACGAAAAATGGAGCATATAAATAAGCAAATTTAGTCATTGAAATGTATATAATCTAAAGTAGATTTTTCCTATATCATCACTATCTACGAAATTATTCATTTCTTCACGTACAGTACGTAGATAATCTATTTATGAGCAGTCAGTTATTGCTGGTCTTGAAGTACGTATATATTTCGAAGTCGGAAATCAGTGTTACACTAGTTACGGTGAGTATATTTGGTAAAGCTTTGTTTAGACTAGTAAGGCCTAGCTTAATTCTGTATTTGGCAAGGGTTTATAGGATTTTCCATTTTTATCCATCCTTTTGTTTCTATTCCTTTCTTGGTTGGTATCACGGCATAAATTTAAGAGGACATTATGTCGATTATAATCACATAAGTCTATCACAGAAACTTGTCCTACAAAACAAGGATCATACATACGTACGTACGTCCGGATGTACAACATTTATGCTAATTTATCTATTATGTGTTGTAAAATTTTTAAAATATTAGCATATGGATTATAAAATCAAATAAAACCTTAATTTTTATTAATAATCTTTAAAATAATACTACTAAGATTATTTAAATAAAATTTCAAATTTAAAGAATACATAACTTTAGAAATTTCGACTACTATTATTATTCTAACTAATAATGTACAAAATAAACATACATTTCAATAACCTTCGAATGCCTCGAGATTTCCATTCCAATATTTTAACAATCTTGTATTCTTTAATTCAGACCATTTATCACCCATTAAATTTTCAAGCAGTATTTCTCTTACTACCCTAACTCCAGAATTTAATGCACCAACGATCCAACTCCAATGTATATCAGTATGCTCTCCACCCCAATGAATTGATTCTTCCGGTCTCATCATGGCACCCATTAATGAATTCAGTTGTGAAGCGCCATATTCAACATAAGCGCCTCCGACAGTTTTATCATTAGACCAATACACAGCCTTATTATTCTTTTTACCTGGAATCCATTCTTTATATACAATGTCACCATGAATAATTGCTAAATCTTTTAATGCGAGTTCAAATCGTTCTTCCTCACTGAATTGACCATATTTTATAGCATCATTACCCCCTGTATAAGATACTAAAAGCACCCCAGGATTATCGTTAGATATGCCTTGATAATATGAAGGATAGACCAATTCACGAATAGGAAGATCGGTATAAGTGGTACCACCAACAATTCCAATATTAGAAGTTGAAGGATTAGCACCAGTTTCGGAAGGAGGTTTTTCCCAAAAACGTGATCTGAATTGAAGGAAAATTTTTCCAGCAAATCCATAATCTATTTCACGAATTGCACTTCGTTTTCCATACGACAAAGCTGTTAAATATAAAAATAATAATAAATGTTTTTTTCAATTGTAGCTATTATAATTAATTTCTCTAAATAAATAAAAAAGTTATAAACAATAATTATTATACTGTATGCATTACTTACTTAAAGGTAAATTCCAATGACGGACGACACCTAGCGGAACAGTGACAATTACTCGATCAAAAATTTCAGAGACACATTTTCCATTCTTTTTCCAATACACTTCAATTATACTATTATTTGTTTTTTCAAGCTTATAAACTTCACTATTACATGTTAAATTAATATTTTCCTTTTTAATCATTGGAAAGAAAGCATTAGGTAATCGTTGCATTCCTTTATCAATAGTACTCCAGCTTATCTCATATTTAGGGTTGCTAAAGGAATATTCTTCAATAGCAAGAGCGACAAAACCACAATGACGGAATTCACCTAATATGGACAGTATATAATAAAATATTTATAATCATTATACAGTAATTGGATAAACAGTTAATATATAGCTACATACCTGTTCCTACTTCTTGTAATTCAATAGCACTAATAATTCGATCATAATCAACAGATTTCGATGGTAATGCTTTAGGAAGATAAATTTCTTTTAAATAAGAATAAACAGTATGATGATCGTAACGTTTCAAATTAATAAGACCACTTGTGAAATTTGTATCTAATTCATCAAAAAAAGGTTGTAACGCATCACTCCAAAGACTAAGATAATTATCTGGAATTTCATCAGGTAATCCTAATTGCTTTACTCCAACGCTTTCTGAGTAATTAGAAGTCATAATTTCCCCGGATGGAGCTTTTTTATTGTTGAAGTAATACAAGGCACTTTGTATGAACGTTTATATGGGCATTAGGATTATAAAAGTACATATAAATAATTAATATATTTTATAGTAATCGTTAATTAAATAGTTAATATACTAACTTTGGATTACTAGAAATAAAAGGAATAAGCTTAATCACTCTATTTGGGTTATCCTTCTTATTATATTCATTCAGATAATCAATTGTATCAAAGACTAATTGATGTGGACTAAGATCTGGCCGATCTTTGACATAAGGTAATCTCATTGCGCCAAGGTCGCCATATAACCGTTTTTCATCATCAGGATTATCAGTAAAATAATGAGTATGGACACGTCCACCAATTCGATCTTGATATTCAAGAATAGTGATATCATTTATACCGGCTTTTTTCAAAAGAAGGGCCGAGAACAAACCTGATAATACGTGTACAAACATTGTGATTTTCATTAAATGCACTAGTGATATATATAGCAGTAATATATTAACATTGATTAAAAACATACCGGTCATTCCCGCGCCAATAATGCATATTTCTAATAGAAAAGTATTAAATTATAGAATTAACTTTCTTACAACTATATAAATGAATTATAAACGTGGAACATGTTATACTTGGATTTTTTTCGATCGGAGAACTTTGAGGGTTTGCTTTTATATTTTCATCATGTGCTCTAGATACAATTTAATATATTAGCACTAATAAGCACATTTTAATAAATATATTTATATGAGTTTACCTTTTATGATATATATCATAAAAGTAATAGTCTTTTAAAAATGCAGATCGCATATCACTATTATTATATGACGTCCTTTTTTGACGGGCCAATCTTGCTGCTCTGTGTCTTTCAATTGCTCGATCAACTTTATATTATGTAATAAGTATCTTGTTAAAACATTAGCTTATCATGAAAAGAAATGTTATTCTGCCTCCACTTTCTGCTTTTAAGTCCGATAAGAGCTTCGGGAAATGAAAGTAAATTACAAAATCTAATAATACTTACACACTGCAATTATAGGATGAATTGAAAGAAAATTTATTTTAAGGAAATTTTCGTTGATTAAGCTCAAATTATTGTTAATTTAAATTAGGTTTCTTTTTACACTTACATACTGGTGATATGCCAAAAAAAAAAACAATTATTATTTATTTCTTTTATAATTAAATAAAAAACGAAGCTTGTTTATAAATTAGATAAAATTTTACTTACGACCTATAATATTTCAAGTACACGTATTTAATAAAATTTAAACATTGATTAATATTAAAGTAATAAATATTATTAAAGCCAATGTAGAGTTTGGATATCGGCCTCCATGCAACTAATTGGGCGCAGTAAACGCGTATTTAAAGTAGCTTTTTTTTCTTTTTACGAACAGGTTAATATGTTATTTATAATTTTAATTTGTCTGCACGCGTTACTGGCACAGTTAATTCATGAAAATATTTACTTTGAGCAAAATTTGAAATAAGAATTAATGTAATAATAAAGACAAAATAAAACTTGTGTATCATGTTGAGTGAACTTGTTAAATTTAAACCCAATGCGAAATAAAGGAAATAATTTTACACCTTTATTATACTGTAATTAAAAATTTAATCAAATCTCCCTAAATGTAACCATCCTAAATGTAGAACCTCCTTTATCCAACTAAATAAACACATAAATTTTTCATATTATTTTTTAAGAGCAAGTAATATAAATATTGTCAAGTTGGCAACTAATAAATTTAAAATTTCAGCCACTGGGCGGCAACACAGACTACCCAATCACCACCAAAACAAACGAACAGCCAACCCACGCGATATACCCAACGATTAGAGGCGGTATTGATTTGGTAAGGTAAGGCCAAATCGAGTATATCATGGGGACAAAAAGCAACCTACTCACCACTTTTATGCGAACATTCACTGCTCTTTATTAAGGGCAAAAAGAACCCATTTTATACAATTTTACATGCGGGGGACAAAAAATTTTTTCTAATCTATTGCGCAATGTCGCGCAATCATCGTGGCAACAATTGTTTCCTCCCAAGGCTTACAATTGTTTGTTTATTGCACTGCCCCAAACCTAAGGTCTTGTGGTCTTGGGGCTTCGTGGGACTCCGAGTCGAGGTCTTGGTCACGTTTTCAGGCCTCGTGACGTCGAATCCAACTTAGCGGATTTCATTGGTTTTGCCACCAACAATACTTAAGAAAAATTAATTAAAACCTGGCAACTAATTTACAAAGTTTGATCAAACTAATCGGCTAGATCATTTTTCTCGATTTAAATCACTAAATGCAGGCTGTCAAAAAAGTTTGGCCCCATGAGAGCTTTAGGACTATGCAGGAATGATTTTATTAACCGTGCATGCGTAAATTAAAAGTATCCTTAATTTGCTGATCATCTCCAGGAAAATTTCTTGAAAATTTTTACTATCGTCATATAAATTTGGTTTGCACCATTATTAGGTACAGTTCCAACAAAAATTACTCACCCATGTAATTTGAATCAAAATATAAGCTCGAATGTAACAGTCAAAAAAAAATAAGGTGGGTATAAGTAAAAAGTTGCGTGTAAAACTAAAGCTAAGAAATCGTATTATAGTCAGTAGTGCCTAATAGTAAGATTTCACAAGGAACATTTTTAATTAGGTCGTAGGTGGTTTCCTAAATAAAATTTAGAACTATTGTTTTTTTTTTGTAATTTTTACATACACCTAATCCTGAAATTCGATTGGCCAATATTACAAGAGATGAACAACTTTTTGTGGAGATCCGTTGTTTCATCATAAAGAAGATACTGCATGCAGTGTAATTATAAAGTTGAAAGATCAATAGAAATCATCGTGGTATACAGATTTGGCCCCTATAATTTACGAATTATTCAAAATCAAGTAAATCGAGTGTACACGGTGATGCCGCGCAGAACCGCAAAACTTACGTTTTTGACTTACTTTTTTGATACTTATCGACATGCAGATTCCGGTAAAAATAAATAATTTAAAACTTTGAACGAAGATATCTCGACAATTACCTGCTTGAATATGATAAAGCCTTTTCGATTTGAATTCTATAGATTCATAGAATTCAAATAAAAAATTTTTTTATCGAAGTTAGCCATGTGGTTGTCGAGATATCTTCGCGCCTATTAAATAGAAGCTGCGCCAAATTACTCTAACTTTGAGCGAAGATATCTCGATAACCATCTGACCAAATTCGATAAACCTTTTTTTTGTTTAAATTCTATGGATTCATAAAAAAATTTTCATCGAATTTAGTCAAGTGAATATCGAGGTATCTTCGCTCAAAGTTAGAGAAAAATAAAACGCCTATTGTCACGGGTGAAATACGGCGAGTCAGTCGCTTCACAATCCAAAAACTCGCGTAACCTACGGTAAGTAACCTT